TCACTTTTGCTCTGTCTCTGTCCTTCTCTGGTCAAATTAAAATAAATAAATAAATAAATAAAGTTAAATAAAATTATTCTTTTTTAAAAATTATTTCCTTTATCATTATAGTTATTTTCAATTTGACCAGAGCAAGACAGAGAGAGAGAGAGAGAGAGAGAGAGAGAGCAAGCCCAGGTCTAGGACTTGAACCATGGTCAGCAATGTGGGAGTCTAGCACCCCTAACCACACCATCTGCCGGTCCCTAAATAAAATTATTCTAAGAAAAAAAAAAAAAAAAAGCTATGTAACAAAATGAAACTCACCAGCTTATATACAATAAGAACAATAACCTTGACCTCACCATGCCTTTTCCTAAAAATGCATAAATGACTTACTACCATATACCATGGTAACTATAGTTAATAACAATATGTTGTGGGGCCAGCAGCAGCAGATGGCTTGAGAATCACGCTGGGCACATGTGGACCCATGCTCAATATTCCAGGAGGAGAATGGATTGCCATGTGGCCATACCCTCCGGGGGGTGATTTCTCACTGTCTCTATCTCTCTCCCTCCAGAGGAACGCACATGCTCTAAGGCAAAAACCTCTTAAAAAATTATACACACACACACACACATATATATATAAAATTATACATATATGTATATATAAATTACATATATACATAAATATAGTATATTTGACAACTGCCAAGATAGATTTCAAGTGTTCTGACCATAAAATAGTATGAGGTAATACATACGTTAAAGAGCTTGACTTATTTGGAGAATGGAGAAGTCTTAGACATCGCTGATGGGAATGTAAACTAGTACAGCCATTATGGAAAACAATATAGAGGTTCCTCAAAAAACTAAAAATATCAATAGAACTACCTGTGTTCCAGTAATCCCATTACTGCGTGTATATCAAAGGGAAAGGAAATCAGTGTGATGTGGAGATAGTTGTACTCCCATGTTTATTACAGCCCTATTTACAATAGCAAGAATATGTAATCAATCTAAGTATCCATTAACAAATAATAGACAAAGAAAATGTGGTATATATTTACAGTAGAACACTATTCAGCCATTCAAAAGAATGAAATCCTGGGGGCCAGCAGGTGGTATGGTGGTTGAGGGTGCTGGATTCCCACACAGCCAGCCACAGTTCGAGTCCTGGACCTGGCGGCTTGCTTTCTCACTTTCCCTTTCTCTCTGGTCAAATTAGAAAAAATAATAATAACAAATGAAATTAAATAAATAATTCTTTAAAAAAAAAAAAAAAGAGAATGAAATCCTGTCATTCAAGGTAAGACAGACAAGGTTAGAGGAATAAGTGAAATAAGCTAAGCACAGAAAGACAAATTCTTCAGATTTTCACTCATATATGTAAGCTTAAAAAATTGACCTCATAGAAGAAAAGAGTAGAATAGTGGTAACTAGAGGCAAGGAAGATTGGTAAGAGAAGGGACAGGAAAATGGTGCTTAACAGATTACAGGGTTTCTTTTTGGGGCCGTAATAGTATATTTTTAAAATACTAAAAACCACTTTACAATTTACAGTGATTAAAATGGTGAATTTAACTATATCTCAATAAAAAACGCTTTTAAAGAGGAGCCATTCCGGGGGCCAGCAGGTGGCATGGTGATTAAGGAGCTGTACTTCCACATGGCTGACCAAGGTTTGAGTCCCAGACCTGGTGGCTTGCTTTTTCACTCTCCCTCTCTCTGGTCAAATTAAATAATAATCATCATAATAAATAAAATTCAGTAAATAATTCTTTTTTTTAAAAAAGCCATTCCACAATGTATACATATATAAAAACATAATATTGTACACCATACATACAAGTGTATATATAATTTTACTTGCCAATTATAATTATAAAAAGACAAACGGAGGCCAGCAGGTTGCACAATGTTGAAGGCACTGGACTCCCTCCCATATGACTGACCTCTATTTGAGTTCTGGACCTGGCAGATTGAAAATCACGCCAAGTATGGGAGCCAGCCAATGCCGTAGCAGTTACATCACCAGACTACAACATGGCCACCCTCAATTCAAGTCCTAGACCTTGTGGCCTGAAAATCACACCAGGAGCATGTGCATGAATGCCCAAGGACCCAGGAGGAGAATGGAGAAGGAACTGTGGCATAGCCATCCCCACTGGGAGATGATTTCTCACTTTCCCTTTCTGTCTGTGTGTCTACCACTACCCCCACTCCTCCTACTCCCATAAGAATAAATGCCCCAAGGCCAACCCCCACCCCCAAAGAAAAGGAAAAGAAAATCATGCCAGGTGTGTGTGCATGCCTGCCCAAAATCCCAGGAGGGGACTGCAAGAGAAGCAATTGCACTGTGGCCATTCTCCCTTGCGGAGAATTTCTTACTTGCCCTCTCCCTATCTGACTGTCTCTCTCCTACAAGCACAAACATTCTATAGCAAAAAAAAAATTTTAAGAAAAAAGAAAGACAAACATGGGCCAGTCAGGTGGCAGCTGGATCCCACATGTCTGACTGCCCAATTTAAGTCCTGGACCCAGCAGTTTAAAAAACCTGCCAGGAACCAGTAGATGGTGTAATGGTTATGTTTGCTGAACTCCCATATAGTTGACTGCAGTTTTGAGTTCTGGACCAGCAGCCTAAAACTCAGGCCAAGCACGTGTGCATGCCATAGATCCTGAGAGGAGAATGGAGAAGGGATTGTGGAGTGACTATCCCCCTGCCCCCCGGGGGTGGGTGGGTGATTTCTTGCATTCTCTCTCTCTGACAAGCACACACACCCTATAGCAAAAGTCCAAAACAAAAGTCCCTGTATTAAAAAAAAAAAAAAAAAAAAAAAAAAAAAAAAACCAGGCACATGTGTGTACATGCCCAAAACCCCAAGCAGTGACTGGAGAAGGGAATGCAATATAGTCATCCCCCTGGGAGGTGCTTTCTCACTTTCTCGCCCTCTCCCCCTTTGTCTCTCTTTGACTAGCACCTGTGCCTCACAGTATGCCACTCCCCCCTCCCCCCAAAAAAAAGACAAATAATGATTTACTAAATGTTTCTTCCTTCCTCAACCTACCCTTCTTCCTTTTTCTATCTCAGTCTTTCGTATTCTCAACCAGAACTCTTTTTTTTTTAATTCCAAAGAGAGATGGGATGTGAATTTCAGGGATTTTTTTCTTTCTTTTTTAAAATTTGCTATAAGGTACACATGCTCACCAGAGACAAGAGAGAGAGAGAAAGGTGAGATAGCACCCCCAGCTCCCCGCCCAGGAAAATGACTATGCTACAGTCTCTTCTCCATTTTCTCGGGATTTTAGGCATTCACACACCTGCACCAGGCATATTTTTCAAGCTGCCTTGTCGGTGACTCAAACACCACAGTCGGCATGTGGGATCCAGTCACCTTAACCACTATACCTACCACCTGGCTAACCCCCTTTTGGGGTTTTAGGCACATGTGCATGCACACACTGTGTTTTTCAAGCTGCTGGGGACCGGGTCTGAATCACTGCGGTCAGTCTCATGGGATCTGGCTCCCTTAATCACTAGGCTATGGAACCAGACTTCTCAATCTGAATTCTACCTATTTTTCAAAAACTCAATCTAAATCCCATTTTGTCTATTACACCTTCCCAGACTGCACCAATCCTACCATATTCCCCTTTCACTGAATTCTAAAGCATATATTATCCATCTTCATTCCTTTATGTTTTTTCCCATGTTTGTATTGGCTTCACCCAAAAAAACCTGAAAGGTCCTTAAAGGCAAGGAACACAGTCCTCCATATCATCTCTGAGACATCCAGCAGAGAACCTTGTATGTATGTAGGGTACATTTGGTTATATTCAATTGTGTGACGCCTCAATTTACAAACTAAGCATGACAAATAAAAGGCTCAAAGACTTCTCCACCTAAAAAGGCTTTCGAATAATACCTTTGGAGGCAAGACTTAAATTGATAAAAAGAAAAGATATAAGTTGTTGAAACCTAGACCAAGTCTTCTCACTTTTTTTGTATGTTCATTTCTTCCTTTCCATGAGACAGAGAGCAGGAGAGCGGCATCCCCAAAAGAGTCTTCATGCCACAATCGGTCAGCAGTCTCAACCACCACCGTGCACTTGGCATGATTAGGAAGGCGTAAGGATATAAACTCAGAACCTTTCAAATGTGGACCCAGTTAAATTACCACTAAGCCACTACCTGGCCCTAAGTCTTCCACTACCTGGTCGTCTCACTTTTAAAGGCAAAACAGTAAACAGCAACTTTTAAAGACCGAAAAATCGAAAGCCACAGTGCTCAACAATGCATCACATTCAACCTATCACTGGTCACACACACTGTCTGAATTCCAGACTCCTTCTCTGTGGTTAGAGAGTGCTAAAGGATCCGATGTCTGCTGGAATAAAACAAGGAACCTGCTCTTCCCAGGCCTGAAATGAGGCAAAAAGCACGTAAACACACAGCAAAAATCAGCCCGCAAAACAAAGTAACATTTAGAGGAAACTATGACTGTGAAGTTGGGGGTGAGGCAAACAGGAAAGAAAAGTCTGTGAAAGGCTGAAAAACACAACTTTTGGGTGAAAAAAGCTATGAAATACCCTTTAGGTGGTTATGTACTGGGCTCCAAGTGTGCTTCTAAGAAATCAGATATATGTACTTTAGTGTTTTCTCCTAGATTGTATCTCAGGCTGTAAATATAGAAATGAGTTACACAGCCACCCTCTATTAAGACTGAACCTGCACACTTGTAAGGAAGAGAACCACCGTTAACTAGTTCTATAAAGACAGCTGGGTAGGATTTAACATAGGGTCTCCCAGCTGTATCTATACCCAGCTTCTGGGTTTGGGGTGCTGGCCCTGGCTCCTATGCTGCAGAAGCGTTTTCTTCACAACCAAAGCACTATCCCTCTAGGGGCAAATAGTCTGGCAGAAACCGATGGAAACCAGTTTCATGGCACAGGAAGCAGTCCCCAACATTCTGTCCTGGATTTTTTTCTTAAGAGGAGAGAATGGGGGAGGGGCAGATAAGGGAGGTGGTAACTAAAGACAGTAGCAGAATGACAACCAGAATAAAATAAGTTCAAACAGCACATCCTGCCTTCTTCCTAAAGCCATTTCCTTACACAGTGATAGGGACTGCAAGTCATTAGTGCACTGCTGTTTTCACTTTCACAAAACCCAGGAAACCATCGAAGAGCAAAGTTTCCCTCTCTTGCCCACTGTTACCTTCCAACCCTTTTTTTTCCCCCCATCTTCTCTTCTTTAGAGACAACCGAATAGGAACAATCCTCAGCAATCCGCTGTTTTGCTCCCCTGAGGATGGGGACGGGGGAGGATCTGGTGAAAAGTGGAAATGGAGATAGAGGAAGGTGAGAACCAACAGGGAAATGAGTATGGGGGCGGGGGAGGTCATCTGGGAAGGAGACAAGGTGAAGAGAACTGAGGGCACAGTTGTCGGAGGAGAACTTGCTAAGGAAGACCAAAAGAGGACGACAGAGGAGATGAGGGGCAGGTGGAGCAGCGGAGGAGGAAATAGGACAGGTCAGGAGTTAGGGAACCCAGGCCGCGACGCCTGACGCTCAGGGCCAGCGCCGGGAGACCGGGCAGCAGGTATCTGAGAGACCGATCGGGGGGTCGAGTGTACCAGAAGACCCAGTTCCGGGACACCGGGGGCCGGGAATCTATGCGGGTGTCCGAGCGCTGAAGACATGAAGCTCTTACCGGCAGTTTGGGGTTGACCTCGCCCTTGCAAAAGTGGAAGAAAAACCGGTGCGCGGCTACAGCTGCGCCCGCGTCAGCCC